AGCAAAAATAATCATTCTTTCACTAAAACTGTAATTATGTAGGACTGGAGAGCAAGAGATACAGTTGGGCCAGTTAAGATACTTATTAGTTTTTAACTGTTTACTGGAAACATTTGTTAAAGAAATACTGGCTGGTAGATTGAGAAACATCTAAAAAGACAGTTATGGCAGTATCACAACCTTAAGAGTTTACAGAAGCACAGCAGTAATATAATAGACATATTTCTGCTCTTCAGAAGATCTCTCAAGAGATTAGTAAATAACTTAAGCTGCTGTGAAATGAGACTGTCGAGTCTCATAATGAAGCAAAATTTCTTCTCTTCATTCTTAAACTACTCTGGATAGCAAAACATTTTGAGAGCCTAGAGTCCTTCAGGATGGAGACAGAAGGAAACGGGCTCTGCTTTGCTTCTGGGTCATGCTGCAAACCTGCCCTGCAATCTACTGAGAATCTAATGAGGCCATCTTACCTACTGAATGCTGGGATTATTATATGGCATTAACTAAACTATATAGGTTTTTCAAGTCACAGTGTCATACTACTGCAACTTTTGCATGAGTACAAGCAGTTTTCACTGGAAGAAAATTTTGGTCGTGGGGCTTGCTATAAAAAGAGAATTCTGAGGTAGCAAAATTTTCAAGTAAAACTACATTTAATTAGTCAAGTCAAGAGGAAATTGAGGAACTTCAGGAGTTCCAAATACAACACAAGAACAATGATAAAAGTAAATAAAAATTAAAGCATACAAAAATATGGACCAATAACACTGATATAACAACTTTGTCTTGTAAGTCAAGTATATGGCAGATTGAGAAAAAGTGTACTGTGACACAAGGAATGGATGAAAGGAATAGATGGAGTGTATCAGATTCTTTAGCTAAGTAAAGGGGGATGTAACAAACTGTTCAGAATAATAGTGGTATGTAAAAGAGTTTCCAACTTGTAGCATGTTGGTCTCTGGAGTCAAAGTCTTCAGGAAAAGAAGCCAGTTCTCAACTGGCTTAAATGAGCAATACAGAGATTTTGTTCTGGACTGGAAAATGTTAAGGACTTGTAATTGCCAAAAGGCTTAAAAAACACTTGCATAGGAAAAGGTAATATGAAATGTTATTGCTGACTCGCATCAAAACCGAAAAGAAAGCCAAGAAAATAGAAAGGTGGCATACTCTAAACTGATAATGGGGAATATTTTCCCTAAGGTATGTAATTGCTCATTGAAAAATATCACTAAGACCTAGAATCTATAAAAATAAGCAAAATAATAAACTCTGAACTTGATGACATGAGTACAGAAAGAAAATGAATTTTTAGATTTAGGCACTAAAATCGTTGGGTTTTTTTTTCCACAACTGTAGCTCCTTTGTGGATGTAAGACAATTTTTAACTTCCAGGACTAAAACTAAATCTTTTCTCACTGAAAACATTATCCCAACTCTCTATATTGTAGAAAGATTTCAGCTTTCTCTTTCACATTTGTTATCCCTCTGGCTCATGATCACGGATGTCACCCAGTATAACAATGCTTTAAGTTTCTTATTGAATGTCCGGTGTGCTTTGGGTTTTCAGTGTACTTCGATTTACTAATAGTTATTGTCCCCAAATATATGTATTGAGGATATACTCTTGATAAGAACCCAGAGATTTTTGAAAGTCTGCAGCTTTTCCCCACAAACAACCTGTCTTTCATTCTAGCTGGAAAGTCCAAAGTTAGACAATTGTGCCAGCCACAAACTTGGAGGTGCTGAACAGTCCACTGATGATGATGGGAGTTCAGTATTTTTCAAATACAAGGACATAATCAAAAAGTATAAGCACTAATTCTTTGGCCTCTCAATCTAAGTGAAAAGCAAGTACTACTACGTTATTTATAGTTGCTGTTGGCCTAAGAATGAAAATTAAAAATCTCCTTCAAGAAACAGGATCAGATATTATGAACAGAAATAAACCTGACCGTTTCTTTTGTCATTTCTTCTACAGACTGTTAAGCTTACAAACTTCAGGTTTAAAGGATAAATACACACAGTACATACAGGCAGCTCTTCAGCACAGCCAAAGACAGCTCAGATCCTTGGTTTATGTTGTGCTATGTGCTGCAATAAATGTGTATGTTTGGAGCAAACGGACTTGGCCATGATGAGGATAAAATGCAGTTAGGGAAATTATATGAAAGGATAGTTTACTAGCAAAGAAAAATCAAGATTATTTGGCAAAACTAAGTAGTATAGACTGCTGAAGCTCAGGAACTAATTTTAAGTATGACAAGGTATTAGGAAAGACTGAAACACAAACAGAAATTGACGGGTAGCATTCTGTTGAGAAGTTAAATGCAACAGACACAGATATAGCTCAAATCTAGCTATAAAGAGCATGAAGTGAAACAAATAATATTTAGTACTGTATTATATACCTGTGTTATCTGCTGCACAGCTAAAGTATGCATGGAAATACTTCAGCACTTTCACTTCATCTAAAAGATGTTTGCGCTATACTAACGAAGAAGACTTGTGTAAACAGAAATATAGATGCCTTATATGTCTCAAAACATACTGTTCTTGAAATCTGAAAGATAGCTTGCATTGTAGCTGCACCTGTATCTCAATAAATTATTGTTCACTTGATGTATCTGGGACTGTAGTAACCACATGCCTCAAAAGAGGCTTTCATTAGCTTATTCAGATTTAGGTTAATAATCCCATAAAACTCCTATTTTGAGGAATGGCACTAAAGAATAGTTATTCTGACAAACATAACAGGGAATGAAATACAAAATCACCCCACTAGTAGTTCAAAAAACTCGCCATAATGACCAGTTAAACTTTGTGGTGAAATTGTAAGCTGCTCATGCAATCTGAGCAGTCACAGTGCACCAACAGATAAATTCCTACCTGGAAAAGAGAAGATAAGTAGTCTCTGTTATGGAAATCTACTTGTACTGTCAGTTTGTTTCTAAAGGTTTTAGAGAGAGTGTACATAAACACATTCTCATAGAAGCAATGGACGCTTTCTGGATTGATCTCTGTAAGGATTTTTATTCTGACCATTACCAGGGAATCTGGTGAAGGGTTTTATCTGTCTGTCAGGCAGGCTTCTTTCCTGAAGACTCACTAAGTCTTACAGCTTTGCAAAAAAGACACACAAAGAAAGATATCCACTCCTCTGGTAGCTGAAATGCAAGAACTGACTTATGACAAAAAAATACTGAGAGGTGATGTATTTCTTTATTCCCACTGAGCACTTTGAGAAATGGCATTTTTAATGTCAATAAAAATTATTTCCTATATTTAGAAGAAACACAAAAATGAGGCTTTTCAGGCATAGCAAGCCCAACTAATGACTGATCTAAAGCCTATGAAAATCAGTGGCTTCTCTTGACTGCAGAATTGAATCTGACAGGATTTAGGAACTTCACATCTGCTCATGAAGAGTGGGAGGAAAATTATTCCTAGTTGATCTGTCACATTAGACTATCTATTAGAATGCCATGCTCTCGGCATCACTCATGTCAAAAGAAATGGCATTATTTCTATCATTTTCAGAGATGATGAAAATGGTAAATGACTTCCCTAACCAGTTATCCAATGTAAAAAAATCCTAAAAAGTCCTCTAGCATAATAAGAAAATTTAAGTAGAATACATCAGTGTAACTTTATTAAACAAACCGTTACAGTCTTTTTTGACTTTTTGTTTCACTGTTTTAAAGGGGGAACAGACTTCCAGAGTGAACTCTATTAGCTGCTTTCTTAACTGTTATGCTTTACTAATCTCTCTTTAATAACAAAATTCACCTTGAGTTTCAATGAGGGTAATTATTTAACTGAAATATTCTCATCTAACACTAAGTATTGCAGAAATAACTTCTCCGTTAAAGTAGCATCTGAATTTTTTGTCTTCGCAAATATAGATTAAAAGAGTAGTATGTCCACTAAATTAATGTTCTAAATGTCACCGCTATGACAGACTGACAGACTAATAATCTTTTATGTGTTATTATTTTAAATACGTTTTATATATTTACTTAAACGTTTGACCATAATTGACTGAAGATAACATCAGTACTTTACTATTTTAACAATTCTGTACTTCAAAACATATGAGATGATGCACAGCAGTGTAGAACATTATGGATTATTTCTGCTCCTACAATGAATCATTATACAATTTAAGAATCTGCATCTCATCTGCAACTTAATTAAAAACAAACAGACAACTTACAGTTCTATAAAATTATGCATGTAAATCACACCTGGTAACTTACACATATGATCAGACAAACACTTGTATCTGAACAAATCTATTTGTATCTATGATGAAATGAGCCCAACTGATCCTTTACATACATATGCATAAGGGTACTTGCATTTCTGGCAGTGAATCCTGATTTTTAAAATTCAGCTGCAAATCTTCTAAGTGGTTATTTACAAAATGATATCCCTTTATGAGAAAAGAAATGTTCCATGCAACTAAAAAATGTCAAAGCATTGAGAAAAAAAATTCTTACCTTATATGAAATGTATAGTAATGTAATTATTGGTACAGAATACTTAATCACATGTGTCTAAGAGAAATTGAAAAAAAAAAAAATTGGTTATTCTGATGATGCATTTATTTGGATAGTTAACTTTTAATGCATTGATATCTGACATATTTATCATGTGGTGGAATTTACAGAGTTTGAATTTTACGACTACATTCTGATTCTGTTTTCAAGCAAAACCCTTATTACGGACCCACCACAAATGATGGATTTGTATCTATATACTTAAATCTATCTTTTACAAAGGGGAAAACATTGTATCATGCAGTATAACAGACTATAAAGGTCTTCTCAGACCGCTGATGATTTCTTAATATGGTGGCTAAGACTTTTTTAGTAAAATTGCAGTTATTTTTCATAGCCACATCTATATTGCCATCTAGTGTATTCAGACGGAATTGTTTAATATATAAACCACTAGAAAATACATTGTACTTAAATTTAAACAAATGTACTTCAGAGATATCCAGTTTAAGAGGACTACAAACAATATCCCTTTCAGATGTCTTAGAATTCTGAGTCTTGATTTGGTTTAGATATGGAGCAAAAACAAATTTCATGAAATGCTGTAAGTACAGTGCTAACCCTCTGTGATGTGTAGAGATGAATACACTTCAGGATGAGTTTCCATACTTCCGTACTGCACAGGCCAAAAGATGCAAATACACACATGTGGGATGTCCAGAGGTACTTCATTCTGGAATACAGACAAGATTTTGCTGAACATCAGGAGCTCTGCTGAGCTCTGTTGATGACAGTAGTTATGTGACAGAAATTCTGAACACAGTTTTCTTGGACTTTCAGGACTCTGAAATAACTGAGTAAAAGACTGACTTCGCACTTTGCTATGTGCTCTTGAGGACATCTCCGCTCCCACACTTCCAAACATTCTTTCTGGCAGGATTTTGGGAAATGCCTCAGTACACAAGCAGAAATGCAGCAGGGAGAGAAAGAAGGTTCATGATCCTATCAGTTTGTGGTCAGCATATTTTACACTCTTAGCAAAATACACTCAATTGTCTAAAAAAGCCTTTACTGGTATCTAAAAAAGTATACCTCATTGTGCTTAATGCCAGACATCCAAAAAGAACTGTGTGAATTAAGTTGTAAGCAGCATCAGGCTTCAGTGTTATTGTGCATTCTTCCATTTTTTCCACGAACTGGACTTGATTTGAACCACTAATTAAACAGAAGAAATAAAAAGTTCTGTAACGTATTTCATATAGTTGTCAGTAATTTAAAAAGCATTTAATCCTTGTGATTGCTAAAGAGCAATACTACAGTCCATAATCTTCTATAATATCTATGATATAATTAAGCCTGATAGCACCAACTTGATGCAGCAACAGGTATTTATTTTCATTCCTGGCTTTCTGGAAATCCAGTGGGTTTAAATGAGCTGTTTTAGAGTAAGACAAAATTGTCAACAGAAAGACGTGCTTGGTTTACTGCTTGAAGTAGCTATTCCCACAGGGTTCACAGAGCTTCTGATGAGAGTAAAGAACTTAACTGTGTTTTGTGGGGGTGTGCTGGTATATCTGGATGCTACTAAAGCCATAGATTTGAAGTAAGTTTACGGAAAAGAAGTGCTGAAAGGATTGGTTATTGCTTGATGTGAGTAGTCTTGTGACTGTACATGGAGGGCTGATCAAAAAAACCCAAACGGCTTAAATGTGTGGCCTTTTTCCTTATTTTTCCATGTGGGGGATAATTGTGATAAATGGGCAGTGATAAAAATTTGAGTAATGTTTGGGATTACCTTTAGTATTACAGAAAATAAGAGCTGCAGAGTCTTTTGTTTTTAAAATTGATTGATGCAGTAAGTTTTTTAAGAGGCTGAATAGTACCAAAATGCCTTACAGACCACTGAGACTTCACAATTCTTGTAATATAGTTTCAGAATCAGAATGTCTTAGATCCTCTCCCTGCTCCTCTCTCTCCCTCTTTTATCTTGTTTTCCATAAAATCTATGATGAGCGGCATTAGTTACGTGACACTCTGAGTTTTTGCTTAATCAAATTTTATAATACCCTTCCAACTTTTGCCCAGGTTGCAAATGTAAAACTGAGAGGTCTATAATGAACCATTTACTTTTTTTTTTTTTTCCAAAATAGGAGTTCAGTACTAATTTTCTTCTAGTGTTCTGTAAATTCCTCCAAATCCTATAATTAGCTATGGGAAGTGGCAGCAGTGATGCACAGTTGCAGTCTACCACTCCTGCTTCTTCACACAGGTGACAGGAAGTTCAGCACAGACTATCCTAGCTCATTTCTGGGCAGTTTGAAGATACCACCAGTGAAATCTCTGATTGGGAGTGCTTTGCACAGGGAAAAGGGGATGAACTAAAGAAAATAACAGTTTTCTACAAAGACATCCTTCCCCTGCTTCCCCTCCCCCCAAAAAACCCCAACCAAACAACCCTGCATATACTGCAAAAATTCAGCAGCAAACAACAGAGCTTGAAGGAATCTAGGGAAGAATGTTTCTTTGGTGAGTCTCATTACACCCTTTATGTTTCTAGCTTTAATAGGAAGTTACTTTATTTTGCCTGATCTATTAGAGGTTCTACTGTTTCCTTAGTACCTGTGGAAAGTAATACTGTATGCTGCTGTATTCAACTGTCAGTTCCCCAGCCTGTTGAAGAACAGAAAATTGATAAAAATGTGAATTATTTTTAAATTGTATTTTACCTGAGGTTCCGAAAGGCAACAATTACAGCTGCTACTGTCATAAGGAAGAGAACAAATATGTAGACATAAAAAAGTAATGTATCCGAGAGTCTTGAAAAAGTATTTAACGGTAGTAAACCAAAAGCTTCTTCACAAAGATACAGGTTAGCATCAAAATCTCTAAAGAAAAAAGAATAATCCTTGTCATCATGTGTTTCATAACTTGATATCAAAAAGGACCAAAGTTTCCTTTTTTCCCAAGCAATTATAAAGCCATAGTTTGCAGATTATTACAAAGGAAAATGTATGACATAAACACGAGGTAAAAAAACATGATTTATCACCAAAATTTTAAATGAACAACAACCTGTAGGTTCACTTAACGAAGTAATAAAAAAAAAAAAATTGCAGCTCAATCATACCTTGTTGCTCCAAATCCAAATTTTGCTTTCAGGAATTTGAATATGTGCTCATCTGACTCAAGATTAAGAGTTTTCTACAAAGGGGGAAAAGGAGAGAAAATTATATTTTAAGTATCAAAAAATTAAGCTTCACACAGTAAACATTTTTTTCATCATTTAAATGAAACTGTGAAGCAACACAGGCTTACTGGGATAGAGTGCTCTGTAATCAAATAAGCATTCAGTTTGTAATTATGGTCCTGTGGTCCAAACAGCAAGTTACTTACTTTTTAGAATATCTATTAGTGTTAGTTTCTTATTTACAGAAAAGGATTATCCAGGACAAGTTTGTTTTAACTGTATTTCAATGACTTATCATGTTTTACTGTGATACTTTTAATTTCCACGTGTACTAAACTTTAACCCGTTGATATAGATCTCTTGAAAAGACTAAAACTCAAAAGCAGAAAAAGTGTTACTGTCACTAATGTCTGCAGATATCTCTTTGCACAAGCAGCAAATAAAAGTATGGTATGGTCTACAACACTTCAGTAACAAGTATTGATTTTTAACTGCATTCATTGAAAAGAAAAATCAATTAAAAACTTTGAGAATGCTCAGCAAATCAGAGGGCAGTATAAATCTGCACTTGTTATAAAATTACAGGTGAGCTTCAAATTATGAATACTTATTAGATGATTTGGTGTTAATTCATGAAGTTTTAAGAATATGTTTTAAAATCTATATAGCAAAAAGATTAGCAAAATGATCTTTCATTTCTAAAATGCAGTCTCTGAAACGCAGTGAAATCTCACTGCAATTTTTACTTAAAGATATTACTGTAGATGATTAACAAATAGCTTTTAATGTAATACATTTTGTATGTTTCTATATTAAAAATTATTTGCTTACCTTGATGAGCTTATTTATTAGGAGAGTCAAGCACAAGACTAATAGTACATGGAGGATAAGTTTCCCAAACCTATTAAGCAAACCACCCTTCTTTAGGTTTTTCTAGAAAGAAGAAAATACTAGTATTTCAGTACTTTTTTTGTACGTATTTGGGACAAAACAGCAGTGTTTCAGCACTTTTTTTAAAGTATTTGGAACAAAAGAAACACAGACGATTTGAAATCTGCTGTGCCTGATCAGGATCAAATTTGTTTTAGCTTCATGTAAGCAAAAAAGTATACAAAACCAAGTATCCAGAATAAACATATATTTTTTCCACAAAACTGAAGGAACAATATCACAAGAACTCTCCAGTGTATTGATCTGGCAGACTTGTGTAACTAGCCAAACAGCCTTCCTTCAGAGGTGGCCCCGTTACATTTATACAACTGCTGGCACCCAGTGTAACTGTGGTGGTGTTCCAAGATTCCCCTAATTTCAATAGCATTGTGTGCCTTTTGAAATATCTATTCGTCAGACCTTCCACCTCAACGTGGCAAAGGTGTCTTCTGGCTCTAACTGGCAGTTGATAGGATTTAGAGCAATATTCCAGTTCAAAGCTCCACATCTGAGAATGGTTCTTTGGCTGTTCACAGGCTACTTGGAATAGGTACAGACACTGTCTACCTATAAAAACCACAGTTCTGATTTTAAAAAGTCATGAGTGACGGATAGCAGGAAGGGCCCTGTAAGTTCATATATTCTGGATTAGAGGCTGTTGTCAATGCCAGGATCAGAAAAAAGAGAACTGTAAACATAGGGAAGAAAATCTTAATCTTTGAAAGAAACAATAGATTTCAGTAAACTGAATTTGACATGTGCCTAGTTCTCATAGAATATTTTGTTGGAGGCAGATCCATAAATACAAGACAAACCCTGCTGAAACAGGTGTAAAGTCCATTTATGCAAATTTTTTGCAGGATCCAAAAATGCAGCTTGCACAATCATAAATGTTAATAGCAATCACAGAATTAGGGTGTCTGATGTGCTTGGTTATGCTGTAATTAGTGTAATTGAATTCATTATTTTGTCACGCAATGTTTTTGTCGCTTTATGCTACAGTAATTCCTCTAATTAGTAATTTAAGATTATAATGTATATAAATTACTCATTTATCTATACATATCACATTCTTTAGTACTACAAAAATATTTCGGTACCTACCTGGATTGTTCTTGCTATCAAGACAGAAGCATTAAAACTTATGAGTAATGATCCAAGAATCATAGAATTAAAGAACTGTAGGACACAGACTAGCAGTAATCCAGAAATCTGAATGACATACAGCCACACAACCTGCAACAATAATGAGATTTTTATGCCTATGAAACTTTAGAGTCATAGCTGCTTTTCTCTGAATGTTTTATAATTTATTTCAACATCAATTACTTTTACAAAAAATGTATCATCATCTTGCACTAAATCATTAGAGACACTACTATATTTATTCTATATTTATGTCCTGAATTAGTTAGGTTAATATTTTATACCTGTTTTATATGTACGGAAGCCTGATGCTATAATAAAGCAGATAAGTTAAACAACTGCAGAGTGAGAAATTAATTACTTTACTTAATTAATTACTTAATATTTGGAAGATGTATTATATTTTCTTTAGTCAAAGAAGTGTTTCTGTAGCCTCTCTAATGTCTTTATGACTGAAGAGTTATGGCTCATTGCAGTTCAGCAATCAAACATCAGCTGATTTCTCTAACGTTTTTATATTAGGTTCGTACGGTCCTTTTCGAGCTGTGCTAAACCACTACAAATGCTAAACTGAATGCAAACATGAAAAACCAGCTGATTTTCTGATACAGTGGTACCAAAACATAAATTTTACCTGACAGCAAGATCTTGAGTTCAGTCTTGTGTTACAGCAGTGGTGTAATACAAATACAGCAGTGGCTCAACAAACTCCAACAGTTTTAAGTAGCAGTTTTTTGAAAATTAATATGGAATAAGAGTGGTGCAGTAAGTCCATTTTAGTATAACTCAGGATGAAGCTGGTAATTTGCCAATTTTTAAGGTAGCTGATTAGTCACATTAATTGCTAACTTCAGCTTACATTTGCAGATATAATGAAGTTTAGAAACTGTTAAATAAACCACATTAATTTTGATATGCAGCTACCATACTAATTTTCAGTTAAATTAATACAATCACTAATATTCAAGTCTGCTTCAAATTTAAAATGAAATTGACATTAATTACTCTTCAACCTACTGTAACTTAAAGTAAAGTTAGAATCTTTTTCCACTTGTGTAACAGATGATTTTAGCCCTTGTTTTACAAGGGCTAAAATCATCTCAGTAGAATTTCACAGTGACATCAAAGTCAATGTTTACATCTTCTACAGTGTATTTCTCTTGATTAAGACTGATCCCTTGTCTTCTGAGTAACACTTGTTTTACTTTCTGGCTCATTCAGCTCAGAGACACAGCAGTGACAATGTCGTTATTTTGTAATGAATTTCCATGTACAAAAGCAAACTGCTTCTCTTGAGCAATCTTCTTCCTTCCCTTTGCGGTACAGTGCCTATACCTAACTTTCAAACAAGGATGCACAAGACTTGAGGCAAAAGTCATTCACTGTTATGACTTCAGCTTAGGCAAAGATTTCTTGTGCCACTTTTTTTTTTCCTGGTCGCTTCCAGAGGACCTGCTTAAGCTGCGGTATAAGACCAACTCTTATGATGGCATTTAAAAGCAATCCCTTAATAGTGTCAAAACATAGCTGTATATAAACAAAACTAGACAAAAACTAAACAATAGTAGTGAATTATATAAAATGAAACAAAATCAGCTTAAAAAAAATCAGAAATGGTGGTGCTTTGATTATTCATTTTTAACTTGCAGTATATACACCTTGACTACTTAAAAGCACAAAGCAACAGAGTGTATAATATATATTACTTTGGGCATTCAGGCCACTGCTTAGTAAAATATCTCCAAAGCTCTTAGCTTTATGATAGAAGAGAAAAAAATTGGTTACTTCCAAACATGATCTTACCTTTGCTGTGGGAAGCATGTCAAAGCAGTCCAGTATGAATAACGCCAGTGCCTGTATCAGCATCATAAACTGATTAAATTGCCAAGTCAGGCTAAAGAGAAATGTTGCTATGAATACAGCCGTAAGTGTCAATCTCTGGAAGGAGGGAAAGAAGTTTTATTTAGCTTTGTAGTTCCCTTCATTAAAAACCAAAACAAACAAAAAACCTCTCAACCCTCCCCCAACAAAACCAACCAAACCCTACCATAATTTGTTTTTATTTTAAATCCATTTTTAAAACATTAATATGAGTTTTCTAACCACAATAACTGCTTAGAGGATAATGAAGTTTTAGAGTTACAGGTTCTTATATTTGTGCCTGTATTTTACCGCTGTAATACCACTTGCAAGAAAATGGTGAGATCTCCAATAGTTTCAGCCCATAGATTTAACATGCAATGTGTTTTACTATGCTCTAAATAGCAGTTACTTGAACAAATTGAGGAGTAATAACTTAAGAACTGTTTGTCAAAGAAACTGTATCACTAGATTTCTTTTACTTTTGCAGATCAGGACAGCCTCCTGAATTTTTAAAACAAATGAAATTAAAAGGAAATCTTTAATCCTTGTGCTTTATAAGCTTTTCTTCTTGCCCACTTTGTGTTACTCTCATGTTTTCTTAAACACACAGTACTGTTGTCTTCTCCTTTTTAGAGCCCATCTTTATTATTTTTTCAGTGCTGAGCATATGTATTCCCTTGTATTTCAACTACATCTAAACTAACAGAAGGCTCATCTGATAAATGTCTGCAATGTTATAAGTGATTTGTGTGTGTGCATATACCTACTGCTATAAACTCTTATTAGAGTATTTTGTCTTCAGTTTTATAGACAGTTTTCTGATACTAATTTTACTGTGTTGTACTTGTTAGAAATACTCACTTCTTGAACAGGCTGTAAATGAGTTCTGAGTAGGTATGTGATGGCTGCTATCTGAACAGCAAAGAATGGTAGTGCCCAGTTCTCTCTTAAAGGAATGGTGAATTCTACTCTTGTAGTATCTATTCTGTACAAAACAAATGGAGTTTCATAAATTTAAAACAATTAAAACACCAACTTGGTGACAGAGAGGTTGCAATGACAGGCATCTTTGTGGCATTTTAACCACCTGTTGATAAAAACAGAGGCTCTATACTCTTATTTCCTTCAACATGCCTGGCTCTGAGAAAACACCATCATGAAGGTTCTGCAAGTCCTCCATTGTTTCTATTCCTCAAATGTTGTACTTTAGCTTCACTTAAACTATGGATTCAATCTTACTTATGAAGCACAGCTCGGGTAACTTAAAGAACAAACAGACTTTAAAACAAAAACACTCCCAAAACCCAGCATGTGGAGTTTTCACACCACAGGTAATTTTACTTCAGTTTTTGGTTTGCAAAAAGCACATACAAGAATAAACAAGTATCAGTTTCTTCACTGTGATCCTAGTGCATTGGATTTGAATACTGCTGAACTGGTTAGGAACTTCTGGTTATTTTTTGATTTTTGAATGTTCTAGCATAAAAAGTAGACGACTGAAGTTAGTAAAAGTTCCCCAAAGGGAAGTAATTTACAAAACCTGAATGAAAATTAAAAAAGAATTCCTTTTTCTCTTGTGTAAAAAAAAACGTTTGCTAAAAACGAAAATGAGCAACACATCTGAGGCATGCTTAGCTGGATGAAAAAAATGTCTAAATGGAGATACTCAGTAGCCTCAGATATACTTCATCTGGACAGAAAGTCTTTATCCAAATCAATTCCATGTACTTATTCTATTTGCATAAAGGATAACAAGCTTCCATTGTTCATGAATTATTAGAAAGGCAGACAAAACAAATCTGCTCCAAATATTCTGTAAATGGAAAAGATGACCTCATGAAATAAACATGTGAACTACTGTACATTGCACGTAGTTTTTAGTTACTTTCATCTCAGGAGAAAGAAACATTTTACCACTATATACCTATAATTATTATTCTGTAATAGACATGCTTGCAGACAAACTTCTTTACAGCCACTGATTAACACACCAAAGTTTTGACAGAACTGCCACTGTACTTTTATTTTCTTGATTAAGTTATCTATAACAGCCTATGCCACCAGTCTTAGCTTCATGCGAGCAGCTTATGCTGGCCTAAAGCAACTTCTTTAATTTTTCTCTCCAAATTGAGAATCCTTCAAGTGATGAAGCACTAGAACACCTCAATATCATCTTTTTTTTTTTTTTCTGAGTTTTAGTGCAGGAGATGTCTACAGGAATAAAGGAACAGAGAAGCTGAACTTCTGATGATCTTAGGTTGTTGAAGGAAACTCTGGAGGTTGGGTGTGGGGCTGTGAGAAGAGACCTGAAGGATATATATGCAGGTGTCTTTAACATCTAAGGGATCCTAGGCTGGAGAAGATAGGGTACATCATCTGGAGATCCAGACACATCTGGAAGATGTAGTCCACTTTCAGAGACCAAATTAAGCCAAAATTTTCTACTCAAACTTTTTTAAACTTTAAGATCCAGTAATGTCAGCTCATTTCCAATTATTTTCTTATTATTTTGTACTATTGCAACATTTTTTTCCATTTTCTGGCTAACCTGGAGACAGGCCTTATAGTTTCATTTTTTGTCTAATAAATCATGCATTTGAAGGTTTAATGGCTTACCTTCGACATGAGCTACAATTTTAGAAAGGTCAAATGTTTAATTTCACTTACCTGTTCGTAATGTACCAGCAAGCTGCCAACAACCCTGAAAGCCATGTTCCACTAAGAAGCCAGCTTGTTACATACAGAGCAATGACATAAACTGCCTGAAGTCCAAACAAAGTGTAGATATAAAAATAAACGGGCTCTAGGTATTGCTGTAAAACACAAGAATACTGTTGTTGACATAAAACACTCATGGGAGGGATTATACTTAATATGAATTAGGTTTTGCTTTTGCAAATTAAAAATGTATCAGGAATATTTCTAATTAGAAAATAACTAAAAAGGAGAGCTATGATTCACTGCATAATCTTCATAATGCACTTACAATCTGAAGCCATAAATAAATGCCTACCTGAATTGGAAGAATCCTATACAGAATGCTGAGAAACACCTCCTGGTAAACATTCATTCTTTCAAGTATGTTAATTGTCCTCACAGATTCAGTTTTATTGTCATATACTAAACCATGTAAACCTTAACGATAAAGAGAAATTGAAATAGGAGATTGTCATTTTCCCCTTCCATCTTCATTTGAACAGTGAATAACTTTTTCAAAGGTATTTTAGTATCTCTCATCAAAAACTGCAAACTTTGAGTCAAGGATTCAGATCACATTACCTCTGAATCAACAAGACCTTCTGAGGTCTTCAGTTTCCCTGGTTTGAATGTGACTCAGAGTGCTAATTCAAGTATTATATATTTAGTAATGTATAGAACATTTATTTTAACACTTACATTCCTAGCATAGAATCTGTGGTACATACTGGATCTTGAGAACCATTCTCGTCACTACTTTGAACACAGGTGATGTTAATATTGACAAAAGTGTAGTATAAGCAAAATTGCTAGGGAGCAATAGTTAGGTATCTAGAAAACATGAGACTGTCACAGAAAACTCCATCATCGTATCTGATTTCCTTGGAAGCTGCTCATTGTGTCACTTACTGCCCAGGCACACAGCAAAAAAATTGCCCCTTCCCACAAATAGCTCATAATTCAAATTAAACAAGAGAAGAATAAAAATGAAAGTAATATACCAAATAAACCAGCAAGGCTGAAACCTTAACAGATATTAAAGTTGTCCCTCAAAGTGACTGCCTTCATCAGAACGTGAAGGTGTGGCACAGAAACCAATGTGTCATTGTGAAATTTATTATGTCCATAACTCAGTGGCTCCCTGGCATATGAACGGAATAAATTTGTCCCCAGTACAATTGTTACACTATCTTTCATAGTTATGGTATGCCTTCTTCTCAGCTATATTTGAAAAAAATATTAAAAACAGTCAGCTGCCAACATGAAGTAAAACTTACTTTACAGTTTACAATACCTTGCTGGATGGAAGCAGCCTGAATCATCTCTTTGTAGTAGGAATAATAAAGTCCGCACTCTGTTCTGAATGAAATTTCTCTTTCAACTTCCTGCAAGTGGAAGTTCAACAGTAAATTCACTTTCCGTTTGCTTTGCACAATCGTACGAAGCTGCCCACAACTCAAATTCTTGCCGCACCAGGGAAATTGACCTATACAGTGGCTTAAGTCTTCGGGTTCAAGCATTCCATACAACTTGCTCAAATAAAGGTAAAATACATGGAAAAATCAGGGTCAGAGGCAAACGGCTGAGATGTCAATGCCTCTGCTATCTGAGGAAACGTATATGCCTTTTGTGATTCCGATATACTGTTTGGAAACACTGTGAATCTTTTAGTATTTTTTGTAATATTCAATGTCCAGATGGGTGCAGTGGCCAACAGCTGGACTTTAAAACTGCATATGCTTGCTCCATGCATTTAACCTTTTCTTCCAGATGTAGATATTCCACAGTGTTCCATGGCTTTGCCACCTTAAGGCTCAATTAATTCCGTATGCTATGCTTGGGACTGCATCATAATGCCACTCCAAGATTTCAACTGGCAAGGAATGCTGCTGCCCACTTGTTAAATGCTGTTTCTTGCAGGAAGCCAGCTGTTCATCACTCTCACACTTAACTTATAGGTTAAAGGAAAAGAGATTCTTTACTTGGTTTTAGGTGTAGATAAAATTATTATTTTTAATTTAAAAATGTTCAAATTATTTAAACTAGGTACACTTCAAACTACGCCTCTTTCTTGGTTGATATTGCAGCAGGTGGAGTCCAGTGGGATATGAAAGCTCTCCTTGAAAACACTCTCAGTACAGGATCTTTGCTTTGGAACTCACCTCCTTTTGTTAACCCATTAGTTGTGAAGATCTAATGAAATTTAACAAATTTAGAGCTTTGAGTGACCACATCTAAACAAAATAAGACTGCATGAACAAGCAATTTGAAGAGAAATAACAAGTATCCTATACAAAATTGTTTTATTATTAGTGATCTTTTAGTAGCTTATATAAAAACATCCCAGCAAATCTCTCATAAGCAGTAAATTAGAAAAGGTTTATACCCAGATTGGATAATCCAATGAGATTCTTATATGTGGTGTAAGCAAGTCATTAAGAAATTTAAGTGAGATTTCTGCAGATAATCTTGTTAATTCAGCTTTCATTTGTAAAGAACACTACTGTAATAACAGAATGTTACTGTTTTCTGAGATTTTTATGAATGCCGTTCTGGTTAATGTAACCTTGCACAGCATCCCAAGACTTTCATCTTTCTTATACAGTCCCATTTCTCTTGCTGGAACAGAATCAATACTATTTCAGAGCTAACATAAAGCTAGATAAAAAATCATGTTCCTCCCTCCTCTACTGCCCAGTACAGAATCTTATCTCAAAACACGTGTTTTATTGAAGTCAACTGTTGGCAAACTAAACCAATATTAGTTCTGGTTTGAGTAAAATCAACAGATAAAACCACATCTGATTCAATGTAAGTTCACAATTAAACTCTCCAGCTGCTCTATGACATACAAATCATAATAATACCAGCAGAAGTAACTGACATTGGCACTAAGTACTAAAAGCCACACACTTAGCAAAATGAGAATGGTGGATTTTGAATGAGCTCTAGTTTCAAATTTGTCACTACTGAAATGTGTTCTAATTCCAAAAAGTGGCTGATTCTAAGTGTTCATAAAAAAAAAAAGAAAAAAGAAGGAATGTTAACATTTGGAATTTATTAAGGGGGAGAGACTAGTCACAGAGGGGGATCTAATTAGCAAAAATGCATTCAAATATGATTAATCTATAATCCTGGCACCAGCTGTATTCAACCAAATGCTATACTTTATGAGACAAACACTAGTGAGTTTTACATCTGTTTCATGCTAAGATAACATCTGGTTTATTCACTCACAAGACTTTTCCAGTTCCATAGCAATTTATACTTTTCCTAGTATTCCATGTCAATAAAACCATACAGACTTATGGGTAAACCCTGTGAGCACATGTTTATATTTCTGTATATTCAATTTGTGAGTATTTAACAAAGAAGCTACCACTGCTCCAAATAAGAAAAAAATAACACTATCCTCCAGGATACTCAAAGAATTGCATATGATTTCAATTTACGCAATGGTATCCTAATAATATTAAGCATTCCAAACAAAATACAAAGGACTTCCTCTCAAAGGCAGTGCAAAATTCTAGAGCTTAGGTTTAATCAAACTCCTTAACCAAGACATCCAGAATATTGAGCAAGCAGCCAAAGTCTGAGTTGAGTTTTACTTTAAAGGCTTTTCTATAAAGAGCATAAGCAAAGCTCCAATTACTTTTCTTCTTTCGACAAAGCTAAAGCACAATTTGTGTAATTGAAAATATTTTTTAGTTTCTCAATTTAAGATCAGAAAGATTTGAAAATTGTCTCAACCATACAATTAGAAACTCAATACAGATAGCTGTTATCAATGTTCCAGGTTGCAAATCATGCCTTCAGCAAATGTATTTAATCCTTGTATATGGTCTCTTGGCTGGTTAACCTTATGCTCATATGTTAAAATGGCATGGTTCCTACCCAGATCAGACTTTTGATCCAGAGTAAAAGTACCTATAACTGCTCAACAGGTACTTCTTTGGAAAAGTACCACCAAAGTACTGGACTGCCCTCCTCTTTATAGCTTACACATTCACTTTGTAGAGCTCTAATTAGCTGGCTATCCATTTCCCCACTTTTTTTCATATTTCTTTTATATTCAAAGTGTAAAAAGGGAAAATAAAAGGACTTCAGAGGAAGAATCCCAGGATTGTTATCCTGCATGTCTCAAAGATTCAAATGTGGTATTTTTATTCCAGACCTCTTCTAAGCAACAATTTTATTAAAGGTAAATTCAATGATAGTAGTCTAAATGCTTACTCAGAAGGGATGAAAAACAGATCAAAGCTCTGGAGTTTACCTGTTTGTGTTACAGTATTAATTTGCTATGTGGCCGTGGCTCATTCCTGTTCAAGGTTTCTTCAGTTTGCACTTGAACAAGCAATACAACAGCAGACAGGAGAGGTGATAAAATTCTCCCCCTGCACCCCTCATTTTGTTATTTTCATTGTAGATCCTGTTCCCAAAAGATACTATACTTGAGGAGCAGTCACTAAACTGCTGTTGAAAAATCACTGATAACAGACTAGCTATTTTATATGTGTAGTGACAGAAAGTTTTCAGAAAACTGAGAAAGGATTTTTGGCTAAGAAACCTGTTTCGGCTTTCACCATCATAAACAGAGATCTTTGTCGTTTTAATGCATAGAGAAGAGATTCAAACTTTTTTTCTTCACAATTGTTTGGTCAAGATGAGTGATTACAACCTTCTGTGACCCCTACTGGAAATGTACACAAACACAGCTTCTGACTATGTGACATAGTATTCTGCATCCTCCTTTATTTTCGTAGGTCTTCCAGGAGGTCTTGGGATAAAACAAACAACCAACCCAATCATGTACCTCTTTCATAGCATAAACCACTCCTCGAGATCTACATTTTCAGTTTTTCTGATAAAGAAATAATATTACGTCTCTCTCCAATGGCCATAGCACATTTACAGTAGCTGGCATATTTATTAGGAAATAAGAACAAGATTCACACATACTGCAGCAGCTGAAATCAAAGCACTTGTGAAACCCATGTTAAAAACAAAATAACGACCACAGAAGTTTTTGTAGTTGGGTGAACCACTGCTGGAAGACACCGAAAACAGAACCGGCTTTGTATGAACTGCAATTGAAATTACAGAAAGGCAATCACTACAAGTGTATGTGCAAGTTGTAAATTCAATTACTTAGAAATTAAGAATCATGACTTTGCATAATGAACTCTTCTTTCTTTCAATTTTTAGGGTTGAATACAATTGACAAACTGCATGATTTTGTAACTCAGCAATCATTATGTTCATATATCAATGAGGTCTTCAGAACAGTAATTCCACATTTTGTACCTAAATGGTGTATGTAAACTCCTCTGTCTAGTTTTGTGCAAAAGCATCAGATAAACACTGCAGACCTCCTCCTACTGAGGTACAAAGAGAGGTGTACCTTCACATAAAAGAAAAAATGAGAAAAGGAGTCTCTCATTACATTTCACTGTATTCATTTAGTAGCCATACATACCCTTTTGTGTATGAATTCTTATCATCTGACTCTTTGTAGCTTATTGGAAGAAGGAAAAAAGTTCAGGGGGATAATATGTTGTCATATAATTTTTACTAGAGTTCAGTAACATAAAAACCCCAAATGTTCACTGTTCACAGCCACTTCAGAGTGACTGAAGTTACTAATTTAAAATGTATGAAAATATAATTGATCTAGAATTTATTTTCTTTTCCATGTTGCAGAGCAGTGGTAATGCATTACTACGTTTCACAGGCAAGATGGGTTAATGAAAGACTGAATGTGTATTAGTATTGTTTCCCTTTCTTCTAAATGTAATGTTTAATAAAAATAAAATAAAACAGAATAAACTCTGGACTTTGTTATGGCATGCAATAATCGTGTGTCAGTCCTCCCTTCTGAGAATTAGGGCTGAGGTACACATTAAAACAAAACTTACTCTTTCCAACTTTCTAGGAAGTTCAGTTAATATATGCAAAAATGTATGCTTTGGCCAAACTATGAACTGTTAGAGAAAAAAGCAAATTTTTCATTTATTTTCAACATAACTTTAGGGGATCTCAGACTGTTCCATAGTGTATTTTGTTCTTGTCTTTTATTAGTATATGGTATGTGCTGTAATTATACGATTAGCCAATTCAGAAATACTGGAAAACATGTACATACATCTAGAGACACTACAATGTCCATGCACACATATAGGCACAGAGATGTCTATATGCTCTTTTACAGATGTTAGGATGAGCCTTCCTGTCTCAGCTTCACAGGAAATTTCACAGGCTCTTCATATGCAGTCTTCTCTTCCTATACTACTCATAAACCAGTGTTTTGTTTAAACTTGATCTCATCCACATATATTTGAATGTATTCTTTCTCTGCTTAGTTAAGAGAAAGTGTATCAAAATACACACTTCAGATTTCTTATCTTGCTAGTCTCACTTATAGCCACAAAATGCTCTGATATAGATACTGCTAAGAAAACTCATCTAGACTATATCTAAGTTAACAATAAAACCTTAGAAAGCTTTGTGTTAATCAAAGTGAAAGCACAGGCAGAGTCTGACTTGGCAGACAACTGCAGAAAATTTTATCAGACTTGACTTATCTCCAGTCTTCTTTGTATTTGCAAATAAACTGCAGGGGATGCCACCTGTTTGGTCTCAAGCTGTAACAAGTAATTTGACAACGAATCTTTAAAAGTACCTTTGAACTCGCTTGGGGCATAAGTGTTTACAAAATAAATTGCATTCGTCTGATCAACTAAGTTAGAGCGACAGCCTTCTATTTGGGAAGATATCCTAAGAAACAAGATTAAGTTTAGAGTTTGCACATGCAAAACACAAACAGTATACACTTGCTGAACACAGACCTCCAAAAAGCAGGAGCATGTAAGAAGCCTGATCACTTTTGGCTCTGTGTTATGTTATCTCTAATACTGGTTATTTTATCTCTAACAATATGTGAAATCTCATTAAAGCTTTTCCTGTTGTTGACAGTTTAAAATTAGCACTGTAGCCACATGCATTATCTGGCAGAGTTAACATCTTACTGAAGAAGGTATAATGTGAGATCAGAGAACATCAGCATCTCTTTCTCCTTTAACCTGCTGGTAGATGAACTTAATGCTTTTTAGAATCTTTCCACCAAATTGGCTGAAATTGGTCATGTTCCAATGTTACTAGTTATCATATCAACTCCTTAGGATGAAACGAGAGCTACAGAGACAACAGAATCCAGACTAAAAATATCTAGAGGGCTGTATTTCAGTTTTGATATCTAATGGCATTCTAGTGTACTTAAAATGAAAACAATAATTATAAAATAAAACGAGCATTTCATCCATTGGGGGCAACTTAATTGCAACTACAGAGCTGCGTCTTTTAGCGAACTTTGTGTCCCTTTGTATCAGTTCAACAGAATAAAAATGCTCTATCTGTTATGTTCATACATTGCCACAAGTCCATGCCTGTTTGTACTTCAAAATATACAATACCTGTGGAATTAATCAATACTTGCTTTTGGAAGGAAAAGGCAAACCAAAGGTGTACCTTCAATATACACACAATCTATCTATATATTCAAAGAAAGATGACTGGGTACAAAACCGTATTACATGTGTAACACAACAGCAATTGTTTCAGTAAGTGCCAACTATTTTTATCATGGGTATGTAAATGGTTCTTGGACAGGAAGAGCATGTAGCATAAGAAAGACATATTGCAACGCAAGTATTCCAATTAAATGTACGTACTCTTTGAATAACGCAATACGTAGACCTAACAGAGTGAATTTTAGGCACCTAAAAGGAAAATGACTCACCTCTTTCTTTTCCCTGGTTAAATTTAGATACGTGTACAGCTGCATTATTTTCCATTCAATGATTCTAGGAAAAAATTATTCAGTCCTGGATCTTGGGAATGAAAATTCTCCTACAGTGTAGATGCTGGTTTTACACTGGTGAATTTCCGAAATATGTTTTGAGGTTTGCACATTTAAGATAACATTATATACAATTAGTATTGAATAGTAAGAGACTGTGCCTAAACTGCATTACGAGATGACAGTAGAAATACAATTAAAGAACTGTATGCTAGGATTTTGTATATTGTTTATTTTAACTGTTTGGGTTTGGATAAGACAGATCATTACAGAGGAACATATAGTTGATTGTTGAAATTCTATTCTAGATAATGATCAATGGTTGGAAGAACCATAGATACAACTCAGGCAGGGGCTGTGTAGCAATGCCTTTAGAAAAAATTGAGGAAAGATATTTATAGAAATGATCAAGTATTTAAAAAGCGGTGGGAAATGAAGCACAGCTTTTTTAAAGTTAAATTTTTAAAAATTAAATACTCTTTGAGCAAGTTATGAGACAAATACATAAATAAATGAAATTTCGACTAACACTCATATCGATGCTCTATGAAAGCACTGATGAAACTATGAAAATGACTGTTACCTTAATATTGGAAAACCACAGGTCATTTTCATGAAGTGTAGCAACATAAACAGAAGTAAGAAGTCCAAGAGAGATGGCAACAATTCCACCAACAGTTATTGAGAGTATGTTCCACAGCTTTCTACCTGTATGATCTTGGAAGAAAAATATTTCACTCTGTAATTGCGAAACATAATTAAACTTAAAGGAATTTTGGAAACTCATTTATACATTGCCTGTGCTAGTACAATTTACATTCTGTAGGTAACAGGACACTTGGTTTTCAGAGGCCTTTATGGAGATGTGTTTTGTGTTTTCTCATATAGGAAACTCAAGAGTATTTTATTTACATGCAAAGTGAATTAAGGTGTGCCTTAATGGGTAAATGTAGTTATAGTTTAAGAACACCATGATCCTATACAAATCTAGATAAACACCGTATCTGATTTGTAAATCTAAATTGGAATATCCTCCAGGGCATCTTTTGCAATTAAGGTGATACAGGATGACTGTTAGATCACAAAGAAATTAAAATCTTCTTCAAAGGTCTTAAAATGGCTGCCTGTTTTCTGGCAGTTTACTTGGGTTTTGTGAAAAAACAACACTGAACGTTCAGAAGTCTCAGTAAATACCCGCAAAGAGACCGAACAGTGGCCAAAGCAGCCTTTGATAACGGTGTCATGCTTTGACTTGCAGATGACCTCCTGTTGACATCTGAATAAGATTGTAGATGGAATGATGGGAATAAAAGGTTTTGTTTTGAGGTAGCTCAATCAATTTAATGTACGCTTACGTTCCTGTTTTTTTCAGGTTTGTTTTTTTTTTTCATCTTGGTATAAGGCTTAATATGGGTCTTAGTGACCTGGAATTATATCTTTGAAATGGCTATTTCATGCCATGTGTGACATCTACATAATGAGCACCAAATATGCCATTCAACAGAACTGAAGGCTGGGCTGGATGAGAACTATGATCACTTTCCTATTTTGTATTTAGCCTAAGTGTACTTGTGTGGAAACAACAATGTAACTTTCCTGTCACCTACCCAAATTGCATATAAAGAAACATTTGGAAGTTAGATCAAACCATTCCTTAAAATAAATTATTTAAAAAAACTCGAACTCAACAAACTTTGCCAATTTTAAAGTTTTAATTCCAAGCAAAAATGTCATTATTTCATTACTTAAACAGATGCTCAAAAGTTAAGACACTTAATGTCTCTCTCTTACATTACTAGTTAGTTGTCCTGTAGTCAAAAGCAAGAGTTTGCAGTTAAATTCAGATTTCATGTGCAATCTGTTTATATTTAAGTACAACTCATCAGAGGTCTTCAAATCTTTTTATGTTACCAATGATTTGAACTGGTATTCCTTTAAGAATCTACAATGGCTATATGAAATCTGATAGTGTGTCACTGACACTAAATTGAAAAAAGTGTTCTCACCAATTTAAATCAGGATTTTAAAATAGAGATGAGATTGACATGTAGCCTGTCTGTATGCCCTGTCTCATCCAATTAAGTTTGGTGATACTCAGGTATGAAAACGTATTTAGTACATGCCTAGCTCTAACCTGTGCTTCGAATAGAAACCAAAAGCTAAACACTAGTAAAAAGCCATAACGTTACAATCCTTTTCATTACCCACCAGACAGAATTTTCCCATCAGGCTTCACATTCTTCTCCTCTGAAGGCTGATCTTCATCTGCTTCCGTGCCTTTTCCAACCTTTCTCTGTCTTACAGTTGTCATCATCTCAGCCACTTTAAATCATTATTCTTCAGTCTGACTCCTAAACGGACACATACAAGCAATGCACCTTCCCACCCAAACATTCACTTAATATCTGGAAACAGAACCTATTTTACTGCCATCAGAAACTTTGACTTGCAGAACTATACTGCAGTTGAAGTGTATCTTACAAAAATGCAAGATTTTTTAAATTTTTACAACTCGAGTGCAAAAAAAGACTTAAGTTCCCTGTTTTATATACTCTTGACCAGGTTTTCAGAACAAGTCATTACTTCCACTGTCTTCACCTTTGGCCCTTTACTCAAAATGCACACCAGACTCCACTTCTTTGAAAAAAACGTAAGCCCTTCAGAGAAAAATTACTCCTTTTAGGGTATTTTAGTTGGCCACCTAAAATAGAAAGCTAGCTGTTTAAATTTTGGCTTTCAGGAAATCCTGAAAAAGGGGGCCATAAAATGTAAAAATGATACCAAAGAACATGTGCTATAAAAAGCAGAGAGACAGCATTAAAAAAAAAATCCATGATGTTTTACACTATCAAAGCACCCTAAAATCTAAGAACATTGCAAAAAAGGCAAAAAAGAAGGGCAGCTAGCCATTCCCCTGCCAATTTCCAGGTGTGCTCTGCTCCATGAGCGTGGTCCGTACACAAAACTGCTTCCATCTGCCAGTCTACGTTTGAAAAATCAGTGACGTCCCACCGTGAAGGCAGAAATCCGCTCCCATTCCCGGAGCGCGGACACTGATGCTCGTGTTACACCTGACCGGTAACGGCGGTGCTTTCGGAAACGTGCCACAACCGCGCAACTTCCTTCTGCAGCTGTCGCGGCGGATTCGCCGCATCTCCTTCCCTCGCGCCTGGGAAAACACGTGGAAGGA